ATTTGTAAGATGGGAGTGCAATTGTGCTGTGGGGAATTTAGACTCTACGTTTCAGGGGCTCTCGGATCAACAATTTCTCCGATAGTTTAAATTTGACCCTATCAACTTTCAAGTCAGATGACATATAACATTTCAAGATGTAGAATGTATTTATTGAACTGCTCATCTGCTCTTTACAACTTTCTCGGCCGCTCTACTGCAGAAGGATAATGTTGTTGGTATTTCAAGATGTAGATATATTGCAATGGGTTAAGTTCATCTGCTGACAGAAAAACACACAGCTAATTATAGCAACATCACCCTTTGTGCTTCTTGTTCACCGAGAGCGGCTGGGAGGGGGGAAGGTTTACATAACCCTCCAAAATGAGAAAAGATAGATAATTGAGGGCCATGCAGATATCAGCTCCGGTTGCGCGAGGCGAAGAGTATTTTCCCAAACAGAATACCTGCTCTTAACATTCCAAAGGCAATAAGAAGCTGTCCTTGCCTCCATTGACATACTCTTAGAATATTACACAAGCCAGACCGGCGGATTTTGCAGAGATGGCGAGTTCCAGGCCACCTGTCCATGGTCTCTATGCTAACAAATTCCAGGAGCTCAATTTACCTCCGAATTCCACGGGCGCAAGACAGCCAACAGCTTGTTCAACCCGTCTGCAAAGATGGCATTCTAGAAATTTCACTGGTTGTTCAATCTGCAAAGTATGTCAGACGTGATGAAGTAGCACCTACCTGCCGCAACTGCTTAAAAAAGAGCTTTCACTGCAATGGTGCCCAGAGTGAAACACAGATTCATTGACCCCAGCCAGGCGGCTCCAATCAAAACCGGTGTCTCCAGCCCACATCCATTGCCATATAAGGATCCAACTTCCCCTTGCCAACATTCTATGGATTTGCAAAGTGGTTCCACACTTCATCAGAATTTCTTACTATGGTGAGTCTGCTATTCTTCATCTACTTAGGAGAGTGCGGCTAACAGGCAAGGATATTGAAACTAATCCCACCACTGTCAATGATGAGGCTCGCGATCCCCAGTCCCATTCCTCCAGCGATGGTCCGTACTTGATTAGCAATGCTGATTGTTACTCAGACTATCCTGATATCCGTGGTGATGTATGAAATACAAATGGAATTGACATTGCCATGCTAATTCTAAATAGGTTTGTCGCGGTGATGAAAATGCACCCTTGGCTTTCATTGTTTCCATCTCAGAGCCTGTACTTCAAGAGCGGCTGGAGTATCTGAAGGCTCATACTTTTCATCTACAGTGTATCCTTCGCACATTTTCTGAGAATAGAGTTGATGGACCTCTGGCATTACCATACGCGCTCTGTCTGGTAAAAATTCTCCGACAACACGCAGGGCAGCAATTGTCTGTGAAGAGATTGGATGATACCATCCAATTCCTCTCCACACGATTGAGAGGACTGCTGTCAACACCTCTGTTATATACCGATCGAGGTCGCATAAGTCGTGCGTCACTTCTACTTCAACGGCAGGTGTTCCACAAGCGTCAGAACTTGCCAGGAGATCTCTGGCAACGGAGCACTGTTTTGAGCTTCTCCATGGATGACAATCTAACTGTAACATTGTTCCTTACAAATCATCCCTATTTCAAAGTGCCTGATGAGATTTGGAATGGTGTTAACTCCTTGGATTTGGGTATTGCTGATGTGGCTGTGATGTTTGGTGTTGGTTAATGTGTTTTACCACTGTAGAAGGATAATGTTGTTCTCAGATAGCTGTAGCACCATCTAATCTTCTAATTCTTCACTCATTCATCTACAGTTAGCATACACACTCTTAATGATGGTTTTTCACAATGAACATTTTTAGCACCATGTCCAAGTGTTTCTGCCAGGATCCATGCACAGTTTTGACACAAAGCGGCTTCATTGCTGACGCGGAAAAACTATATACAAGGAATCAATGGGTGAGCTGCTAAAAATTTCCTCCAACATCGGATGCGTATATGGGCATGAGTATTACCCAGCATGCTTCCATTAGTGTTGTAGAAACTTAATTCAACTTGCTGAGTATTTTCAGAGGCTCTCAGATTAACCATTTTTCCGACAGATTATGCGGAACGCCTTAATGAGTTTTATCAATAAAATCTCAAACTCATCCAAAGCGATCTCAAATTTCCAAGCAACACACTCAGAGTAATTAGATTATTGCTTATTGAAAATGCTACTGGAGAATGTAAACGAATGGTGTCAAACTGTACATAAACAAATGCCGTCAGCCCTCCTGTACCTTCGTGGCTTATTGGGTATGGATGGCCATGCACATATTGATCCCCGGTTTGGTTGGGCGAAGCGAAGATCCGAACCATTTTTTCCATGCTAACAAATTCCAGGGGCTCAATCCGAGTTCCTGGGGCAGGAAACAGTCAAGGTAAGGCTGGCTTACACTCTGGACCTTGTTGTGTCTCTCGCTAGACTCCATAAAGAGAGGCCTTGCACCCACCCTTCTCCCATCCTCTTATTCTCTCCACACATCGGAAACGACGCTATCCGGCATGGGATCACAGAATCCCAATCTCAACCATCTCCTTGGCCCCCGTTCCAAAAGAGTTTTTAGCTGATTTCTAGTTTTTACCCTTCTTTTTATCTGACTTGGCGCTTCCTTCTGGTTTACCCTCTGGATCATCGCAAAAGTCGAAGAGTTGTTATATCCAAGTCCTCGAAGAAGTGAAAATTCCAGAACGACAGATGCCCAAAGAAATCAAAATAGCTCAGGAGGTGCCATCAGTCATGGTTGATAATTCTGAACTGCAACTGGCTGCAAGGCGAACAAGGGAGCCGCCCAAAAATGCCAGCCAGATATACTGTGATCACCCAGATTGCCGCAATCATATTCCATACTTCAAGAGACGCAGTGAGTGGAGGTATGCAGCCCTTTTTTTTGAATATGATTCCCATTTCTTGAACTATGTGTTAAGTACATGAACAGCAAACACATGGATAAACATGACCACCCATATAGGTGCACGATCCCCAGTTGCAACCAATCGTTTACCCGGAAACGTAACATGCGCCGTCATGTAGAAGAGGTTCATCAAAAAGGGAAGAAGTGGATGTGTCCTTATTCAGACTGTGATCGAAGCTCAGGAAATGGATTTGCCAGAGAGAGAGATCTCAAAAAACATATCCACCACATTCATACAAAACGAGATTGCTTTCTCCGTGCTGAAATTACTCGGCTTCAGTGGGAAGTTATGGAAAAGGATTCAAGACTGGAAGAGATGAAAATGAAGCTGAAACAGTTGTGGGAGCTGACTGGAAAAGATACTTGCTTCGCATTTTCTCCTTTCATTCAGCTCCCTTCCTTTGCGGAGTTTGAAGCGGGAGTCTCAGAATGGGTTTGAAATAAAATGACAATCTGTATTTACTTCTCTCTGATGCAGAGCTCTGTGTGATTTTCTGTTGTATTCCTGGTTGATAATGTAGTTAAATCAAAGGAAAATGATTGGTTACCTAAAAAACTAATTATCCTTGCTTGCGCCAATAAGAAATAGTGCATCCCGGAAAATTAGAAATCCCGGACGCTGATGAAAACCCCAGCCATGCCAAATTCTAAACTACAGAATATACACAGCTGGAATCTAGGGCTCCCATTGCAAGTGATGGCTTGTATAGACCTCAATAACTGCCTTACTGCATATGGTCCGTTCTTGAGGCGCGAACTCTGGACTATCCTTCTAACTAATAAAGCTAGTGGTTACACAATAGCTACGCATACCTTGAGCTTAAAACCATAACAAGATTATACCAGTCAAAGGTGCTTAAGTTGTGCATTGTCTAATGAGATTTGAAATGGTTTTCACTCCTTGGATTCTTTGGATTGGTGTATTGCTGATGTGACTGTGATGTTTGGTGTTGGCTAATGTATTTTATCACTTTCTCAGCTGGTCTAATATTTTGCCAACAGAAATCCGAAGCCCCGTCATCCAGTAGCCCAGGACATCACCAGCGCATGTTTGCCTTCCCTGGTTCTTCAGACTGGGGTGACGGAGATTGTGATCTCTGGCGGCCGTGTTTTCCTGATTGATGCATCTTGTCCGCTCGCTCATTGCCTTATTTGCGCCTTACGTCGACGCGGGAAACGATACACCGCTGGAATCAGGGGATGGGCTCCCATTGCAACTGATAGCTTGGGGTTCATTTCCCGACAGGGGATGGCCCCTGCAGCGAGTATCAAGTCTAATGTTTGGTTTTTGCTCATTTTGACAATCACCACCAGCCCATTGCCTTGAGCAAACGCAGGCTAGCCATCCAAGGCTTGTCCTTATGCAAGGGGAAGGGCCATATGAACCGTTTGCCTTGCGCCCTTGTTACATGCATGCGCGATTTGGCACCGGCGCGCCAATCAAGAGGTGGGCTGTCAAAAATGGCTACTCCGCTTGGCAGCCTGTGATTTCTGCTCATTTTTCATCATTTCCTGGTTTGGCTGGTTATCCGCAAGCATAAAGGGATAGGAGTGACCCTGTCTTGATCTGTATTTTTGTATACTTCACTGTTCTTTCCCAGAACTTCTCAGGCACATTCATCGCGATCAAGGCGAGCAAGCAGCCCACCTGGTTCTCAACTCATCGAAGAGGCAATTGCTTGCCTCTTCTCCACTTGCTTTCAAACCCCACGTTCCTCAATATCGATATTCGGACCAGGTTGAAGATATCGTCGATACTGAGGAGCGTACCCATGAGGATGAGGTTGAAGAGCAGATATCATACAGCGGGAACTCAATGGCATCTGATTCAGTTACACCGGCCCTTGAAGGATTTCCAGATGTTGAGAAGTTTGATCAGCTCATGAAGAGGTAACACTATATCTATTCATCTCTGAAAAAGATCACTGACAGATTATTAGTTATTATGCTTTAAGTTCAGTAAAGACCTTAATAACCTCAAACGACGCTGAACAGATAAGAATGATACTTCTTAACCCCGAAGACACATCCATAGAATCAGCAAATTTTCGGTATGAATATTGAAATTTCAGTTCTTTTTAGATTGAGAAGTAATATATAGTCATTTCAAATCTGGTGCTGATATATGATTTGAAGGATGACATATTCCAAGTACATCCATGCTACAGACTCAAATCTTCTCTTAGAAATATCAAATGAACTAACTGCAGAATTAACAGAATCCCTGAGATGCTAGTTCAACAATACATAAAAATATGCCCAACGTGCAGTCCAGTACTATCTGAACCACCAGTACCGGCTTTGGAAGGACTCCCAAATGTCATTGAGTTTGACAAGCGCATGGCAAGGTATCTATACCAATTCAACACTGAGAGAGGCTACTGACATGTTTATTAGTTATATCAAACATTTGCCTGATGAACTTAGAGATAAAGCTACAATATCCTGGAGCATGGCTGGGAAGATTGGAAAGGCGCTTCTTGGTGACACTACAAAACCGGTCGAGTTTCAGTATGCATGTTTCAACCTTCTGAATAGTCATTTAGAGGCTGACTTAAGTGTTTTGAAGAGATTGGTCCAAAAAGATGTTCACATTAGGGCGGATCAATGGTCAGCTTTCGGTCTTCCGGGAAGGGAAACCCATTGCAACTGAAGAGAAGTTCTTTAAAATTTTGACAACAGCACATCAGAAATGTGAACATGGAGACCAGAAAAAAACTTCAGCGGAAGTTAATGAATTGTATTCTTGGTGAGTATATTCATTGCCGTCTGAGGATATTTTGAAAAGATAATCTTGGCTAACTTCAGAATTAACAGGGTTCCCGAGGAACTAATTCGTGAATTCGTTAATATATGCCCAACATGCAGGCTGAAATTCACTGAACGATCATTCGTGTGTGGGTATGATGGATGCAAGAAAAGCTATCAACAGCTGGGATATCTGAGATGGCATCAGTTGAATCGTGCGCATTATACTTTCCCTTTTATTGAATCTTTCTGTTGCTGATGTTAACAGTAAGACAACCCTAAGGACATCTACCATCGCGACTTCCCTAACTGGCTTCAATGTCACAAGTCAGCATACCCTCTGGCAACGAAGTTCCAGGCAGGGTCCTACCACTGCGAACACATCAATTCTTCTACGGGGGAGCCTTGCAACTCCATCCTTTCCAATCCTCGCTCTCTTAGAAGGCATGAAGATCAAATCCACAACCCCTGCAAGCAAAAGATGCGGTGCTGTCTATGTACAAAGGAAAAGACCTTTTTTCGCAATATAGCTTTGCAAAGCATATGCGGCTTTTCCACCCCGAAGTTGATTGGCCAAACAAGCGGAAATGCAAGTCAACATATTCTTGATCAATCGACAAGGTACTTGCTTCCGCCCTCTGTCCACTATTACCTTCTCAGGAACTCAGTTATTTAGTGATCTTCCTCATACACCATGCAAATTTTGCTACTTAGAAGGCAACAGTTTGTAGTTACAATAATTGTCCCTATACCAATTTTCCCTAATTCTTGTGTGAATACGATGGATGTACGAAAGCTCCGTTTTACTTCTTTGCTTTATTCCAATTTCAATTGTGTCAGAGTTGCCCTCCTTGCACGATCCCTTGCCTTTTACCACGATAATTTTACTAGATCAAAGAAAATGGTTGATTACTCATCCTTGCTGGAGCCAATAAGAAATAGTGCATCCCGGAAAATTAAAAATTCCGGATGCTATGGAAGGCAGAGTAGTTTCTTTCCTTGCACTTGTCATCCACACACCCATCATCCTGTCGCCCCATTACGCCCGTTCATCGAAGAGGAGCTGCGGCGTCGGGACACTGGGGTCGAAGCTGTCCGGATCGCAGTATCCACTAACCGTGCCAAGCGCACGGTTATCATATAATATCAGGAACTCAGATCCATGTTGACTCCAAGCCCAAAGGCTGTTTCCACCAACAATGAAGGAAGTCCATCGACTTGGATTCCCAAACAGGCTCTCTTGTCAGATGACGTTAGTTGTCATTTAACAGCTTTTGTTACAAAATATGTAGAAAATTGGAAAAGTAGCTCAAATAAACCACTGTACCCGTTAAATATATTCAAGTGGTGGAAAGATACATGGGCAGGAGGCTACATATATAATTACTTGTTCCTTATCGCCGCCACAACCTTCCGCCATAGTGATAAGCCACAGGTCGTTGGCATTGAATTTGTCTGTTTATATCACTAAGAGCCTTTCGAGAAAACACAAAAAGCCTTGCTGAGTGCACTGTTCCCTTGGCGGGGCCATTGATCCAAGCAGATTTGAAAAACAATAGGTGGTGGCAGATGGCAATGCCGGCGGAGATGGTGATGGAAATGGCGATGGCGATGGAGATGGCCGTGGAGATGACCTTGGAGATGGCGATGGCGGCAGAGATGATATCGATCACAGAAGAGTTCTCCACGCTAATAGAATTCTATATTGAAATTGTGTATTTCTTTTTGTTTTGATTTCTCCCTAAAGGAGCAGTTATATACCAATTAGTTGTCAAATTCCATATGAATCGGTTTCAAACTTATTAACCTACGCGATGGTCTCCTTTCAACCACTGCTCGTG